CTCTACTGCTTACTATATTTTGATTCTGCTATAAACTGGTAACATAAAATTTAGATATGACAACGCGCTTTACTCTCAATCATTATTGGTTTTACTATAGGAATCATTTGTTGAGCAGTGTATGAAATGTCAAACGCTGGCAAATACAGTCGTGGCAGATATTTATGGATACGCAGTAGTGCTAAAAAATCAAACTGTGAGAAACAAACATCAAAGGTCCCGACAAGAGTGAAACTACTGGGTCTTTCAGCATTAAACTTGTGACACTACTATTACCACCATTGAAACATCTCCTATTACTCTGTGAATTTTTAATATCCAATCTACAGAAAAGTATCTGACTCGTGAAGCTCCTCGATTGAAAATTGATTCATCGCTGAGTATCCTATTACAATAAAATCCTGTAGAACTGAAACAAATCCTCAAAACGTGTTTCCTTCTCGTTTTGAAAATTACCATTCTTCAGAGTAAAGAAATCGCCCTGCTTATTCTGAAAAGTGAAATAATGTGGGATAGCCTGAATTTATGTCGAAAGGAGGTAGGTATCTCTATTGAATTGGCTGTCTTTAAATAATTTAAAGACTTCCTGCGGAAACCCAAGGGACCTTAGCGCTGTTTTCTCTGGCCATTCAACTGAATATGTTTATGTTTAAATTCTGTGTTTTGGAAGACCTGCCTTTTATCATTGAACGCAGTACCGAAGTTTTTCGAGGTGAACATTGTCAATTCATTACCTGTAATGTGGAGTTGCAGAACATTTAAATTTGATTTGTTTTACGAGAATGGACATCACTGGCTGTTTTTATATTTTTAGGATGCTAACGATGCTCGAACAAAAAATTCCTCATTCTCCGTTAGTCGTGTTCCGATGATCTGAAGGTAACATATATTTTGTGTTTCTAGTGTATTTCAGATATGAAACATGGATACAGTTAGATAACGTGTATCTCTTTTGAAAAACCAATATATTTTTTTTATCCAGTCATTGTTATTCAAGTTCTGATATAACAGATGAGAGGCCCAGTGGTAGATTAAATATTCTGACTCAAGTCTTGTCGTACTGTGGTGAGTCATACTGTGGAAAACAAAGGTTCATTCTGACTGTACTCTTAGAAGTTTTAAAACGTAATTGTATAATTTTATAAGAGAAGGGTGTATATTCTACCCACCTTGTTAGGACGAAGGCACGAACAGTTATTATAGGGAAGTGGAAGATGATCGGATGAAATGATAAGTGGGAAAGGGCATAATAGCGGGTAAGTTTCAAGATGAGGGGCACAAGAAACAATAAGGGAATTCATAAATAGACTGGTTGTAGTTCCCAATATTTACGTGGAAATATGGACTGCTCAACTGAATATATTCGTAAATGATACATTTTGTGACGATGAGTGGATTGCAAAAGCCCCAGACATTTGAGAAACTAACTAGGTAATCCAGAGAGGGAAACCCATGGAAATAATGCAGAAATAAATTGAAAGAAATTATTTCATGATACCTTTGAGATGGAGAATAGAACAAACCAAGCTACTCTGTTGTATGAATGTTATACAGTAATGCAAAAACACATCGAATGAGGAATGAAACGTAAGGCATGAAAAAATAATGATACATGGAAGTTTCACATTGAATCAATTTTTGAAAGTCTAACTTCAATCTCTGGCAGCTAATCCAACCTTAGAGACTTTTACGGCTGGCTCAGTGTTTGGGCACATAGCATTGAAAGGCAACAAAACAAAGCCATATCACTCAAATCGCGCTAGAAGTACGCGCGAACCCGCCATTACAAAAAGTGCGCGAAACATCAGTACTATGAATGACATGGTAGAAATGAGAGCTTCAGTTTCGTCTCGTTCTACTTCTGAAGGAAAAATGGGGCCTTCCAACTCCAACAAGCCTTCCAACTCGCTTCTCTACAGTCCTAATTACTTCGTTCTTTCTCAAAGCATACCTTCTTAAAGTAAGTTGACAATTCCAAATGATTTTCCAACTGTTGTCACTTGCTCAGTATGGCCTGGTTGTCCCGCTAAGTTTCCTGATTTTTTGTGAAAATTTCATGTGAAAATTATAGTTTTTTTTGAAAGAATATTATATTTTTATTAAAACAACGATAAAAATAAAATGAAAACAAAAACAACAATAAAAATCAATTGGCGCTCCGGGGCGACTTCATTGATTCCAATGGCGCATTTGCTTTTTCAGCTGCAGGAAAATCCGGAAAAACCTGCAGCACCACATCATCTGAAGATCTTGATATAACAATGTCCTCTCTCTTATAAAACATAATGACCTGAGTCCACTGACCGCACTGGAAAAGAAGAAGGTGGATCAATCACTTGTGAATTAACCTTGATAGGAGACTGATGAATATCCACATATCTCGGCTTGTTTCGAAGAGGTTTCAGTTCGGTACTGAAATTAGGGCAATGCATGATCTCATCAAAATTACGTGAAGGAGGAATAGTTCCAAGTACTGAAGCAGCATTGCCACGTTGAATAGCAATACTAATTCTTTCTATCTTCCAAGTTCATGAACGAATAACAGAGACTCCGGGCCATGAACACCAAAAGTTTCAACCGCTACTGGATGAAACAGATAGTTGTTCCCAAGATTTTGGTATTTTTTTCTTTTCAATTTCTCGCCAGACAATGCTGGAACTTTCGGCTAAATGGGAAGCCGCGACCGTGTCAACGCAAGTGAAGTCCCATACCACAGGTTTACCGTATTTCCATGGTATGAGAGACATACCATGGAAATCATTATTTAGAGAAATTTCCAGTTTCAAGAACCGACCAGAAACTTTATTGTACCATATTCCGTGACTAGCATGATATTATCAATAATATCAGTGAAAATGAAAAAAGTAGGAGTTTCGTAAGTTTCATAAGATTTGAATGGAAACAATTCCAGATTATCATCTGCTTCATTTTACTGGAAATTAGGTAGCTGAGATTCGCCGTTATTCCAGAATAGATGGATGTTGGTAGCTCAGAAAATTCGGCTGCATTCCACGCAGCGGAGCAAATTGGAGAAATGTAATTTACCTATATTTGTAGAAATTTTACTATTGAATATATTGATGGGAAGGAAAATTTTGTAGGAAAATTCAATCAGAGCTGCCTAATACTAATTCAAAATTAGGCTTCCATATTTTCAATGAGTTGTTGTATAATTTTTCATATGGTCTGTACCTGTGAAATCTCAAATATTCACAAAGTGTTTCCCTATTATCTATCAAAACATATTAGATATATCTGACTCGATCATATATTCTCTATTCCCAAATAAACTTTACCCATGCATTTCTGAGTACCAAAGGTCGATAACACCCGCTGCTCCAAGTTGAGTAATTATAGAGTCATTACACTTACTCTACAATTATTAGTACAGTATCAGAATTCTAATTACAGAGATTTCGATTAAATAATTCTAATCTAGGTTTAATTAAACTTTGGTCCTGGTTTTGTTGAATGCAGTCTTGCTCATGAATAATAAAATAAAGCATGCCTTCCCCACAAAAACGACCTATGATTACGATTTCAACACGAGTCATAATTTCGAAATTTGAAATACTACCGTTGCCAACAGATAAATTAGAACCGAGCTGAGTTTTGCTGTTTAATGGGAAAGTTGCTANATTCTCCAATCCATACCATGTGTGAAGTGACAAACTCTATTAGCGATAATTTAGATATATTTAGTTGCTAATTGTCAGATATAAAATCCCATTTTCTAAAATAATTGTTTTGTCACCTATAATAAATATAAAACTGTGATTTTTATAGTCACTTGTTTGTATTGTTTGTAGTGTTTGTAGACTTTACAGTCACTTGTTTGTGATGTATTTATTATACTCTGTTATTTCTTGCTCTGTAATTGGGCTATGTCCTGTAGAGTACTGTTTTACAAATAAATAAATAAATAAATTTCCAAAATGAACACAAAGGAAATTATATAAATTTTAGTCGAGCAACCAACTACCTATCTATCTAACGCTAACAATATCTCTCTCTATCTTTTCTGAGGCAAGGACAGAAAATTACAGGATTCAATCGATAAAAGAAGTGTATAAATTCAAAAGGGTACGTTCCAAGTGAATATATTCCATAAGTTATTGATATTATCGAAGTGAACATACTGGTCGGGTCCATTTATCCCGTAATAATGGGCTCGAGCTGACAGCTTGTGTGCACAGGACAAAGTTATGTGGGGTGAATAAAGAGGAGCGGTTGTATGGAAATTGTCTCAGGAACACTTCGATCCAAGGAGGAACTTCGGTATTAACTGATTCACGAAGTTTTGAAGCTACCTCATTCAAGAAATGGAAACTTCTTAGTGTATCATCTTCAATGGATAACTATTGAGGTGTGTCTCGGGTGGTTTTTGAAGAGAAACATTTATTTGACATTGTGTCAGTCGAATGTAGTTCCTGAAATTGAATACCATTTCTGTAGACCTATTGATCTGCGATTTGGTACACACATTTAGTTCTGATCACTGAGAAATTTTTAATATTCATGATCATTATCAATTCACGTTTCCTGCCTTTTCTACCTCAATATGGGTATGGAATGAAAAGGCTTGACTTGTACACAACTCATTTCAGAAAAAACGTCTCAGTCAAAAAGTGACGTCCGAAAAAATTGCATAAAATAGAAATTGAAGACTTACATTGTCAACAAACTGCAAAATGGCATTGTATATAAATTAGTTATTTACTCAGGCTCGAAATTATTTGGTAGAGTATGAGCTTATATAACTAACAGTGAATTGAGCCTAACTAACTACTAATTAATGCTACTGCAGTAACTAATGAAAGTGCAGTAACGTTAGTTTCAAATACAAGTGATATGAAAACAAAGGAAGTTTCATTTATCATTTTTCATGATAATAATAATAATAATTAGTTTATTTACCATAATGATCACAACAAAAATATTATAAAATAGTTGGGTAAACAAACAAAGGCATACATACATGGTGAAACAGGTAAAACAACGATTGAAAGAAGATGGTATCTTGTTTATTCCTGAGCAAAATAAAGGTCATTCGTCGTTAAAAACAAACCAAGAAAGAATTTTATGGAAATCAAGATGTCAGCAGAGAATTACCAGGTAAAAAAAATGCAAATCCGTACATGAAAATGAACAGCAAATTAAAAACAGAAACGTTTAATATTAGGCAACTTGAAAGAAATTTATCATTTGTTTAAAGAAAAATATCCATTTGAAAAAGTAGGTTTTTCAAAATTTGTGAGTTTAAGACCACCTGAATGTGTTCTTGCCTGTGCATCCAGTACTTACGAGGTATATGTTTGTCAAATTCATGAAAATTTCAAACTCTTGTTTCATGGAGCAAAGCTTGGTAAACTCAAACTCAATAATGAAAATCAACCATTCTTGTCGCATGGACATGCAACTACAAATGAGTTATTTTGGAGAATTCAATGATTGTCCCAGCTCGGGAAAATTGAAAACTATCTTAGAACGCTTATTCATGGATAACTTTTTAGACGAGATTACATACAATCGGTGGACTCAATGTTCTTCTCACTAATCGGAGGGTTGAAAAACAAGAAAAATAGTAGAATTTTCAAAGTTGCATAACTTTTGAAAAACAAATTTTTATTAATTTTTTTCTTTGGCAGAACCTCATTTATGTGATAAATGAAAACTTTTGACCAATTTTTATCCAAATCGAAAAGGGTCGATTTCAACCATTGATCCATTCGACATGGAAATTACCCAAATATATAGAGTGGAGAGGTTAGCTTGATTGGCTGACTTGAGAAACAGCGTAAGATCGGAGACAAAAAAAAAGAAATATTTTCTATTCAAGCTTTCGAGACTTTATTGGCTGTTATTCGGGAATTCTATAGTACAATGAGATATGATATAATAACAATTGCAAAACAAGTGAAAAGTAGTACTTACTAATGAAATATGAAACCAACAAGGAAATTGAGGTTTTTCTTTATACTATAAGAACACTCATGAAGTTTAAACACATGGAAAAAACCAAACATAGTTAAAACGGAGAAATTACTCAATCTTATTTGTGTGAGTTTATATACATTTCTAGTCTGAAGTCGAAAATTATGCCAATGAACTATTGAAAATGGCATTGTACATAATCAAAGAAAAAAATTTTGGAATCTTACCATTTGTTTGTCAATGTATTTCGAACTGCTATTTTTATGGGTATGTAAAGGCAAGCTGCATTCAATGAAAGTTTCAGAGTGCTCCCACTCAAATTTATCTATAACCCGCTTCTGTAGCAGACACATCTGGAATGCCACCACTTCTTATTGGTCTAAACATACAACTGTCCATGCAAGACTGATTCCTGGTCTAGAATAAATTTAAAAAAACCAATAAAAAAGTGCCTGTATTAACAAAAATGAAATGAAGTTATTCATTCAACGAGTCAGGATTCGCTACGGACATTTTTATAGTAGAATTCAGAAGGGGCTCACGAAATTTCAGTGATTTGCTAATCACATACTACATTCTACGTAGAAAAATACAATAATAATCTTTTGGGCAGTCTTGAGCAGTAGAGCAGCATAATATTCTAATCACTGTAGTTTCAGTTAGCACTGGTGCAGATGTCCAATTGGCGATAAGTAAAATAATTTTCAGGAAAATAAGGCTTGACACTTTAATCTCAATGTTATTGAAAAAACAATTTTAGTGAAATTCCTAATACATGAAATGAAACAAAAGGTATTTGGGACTGAAACAAAAAAATACTATGGAACTAAAACAATACTGAAAGATTCAGAAAATCTTTCAGTGGAAAGATGAAAATAGTTGTCTAATCAACATGTAAGGTTCTTAAGACAGTTGTTTCAGAAATCAACTATGTTAATTGTATCAACTATGATAGAATTTATTGTTAAGGTTAAATCATTTACTAAACTTTAATTTCTTTATATTTTGCATGATTCTAATTTTATCATAATTTTTCTCACATCATTTTAGTGCAAAATTTCGTTTACTTTCGCTTGTTCAATCTTACATAGCATCAACTTTGAAAATTTCAACTGAACTTACAATTTACAAATGTTTTTTTTTAGCAATATGATAGGTTAGGCAATGTTGTAGCATCTAATATGAAATACATAAATGTAGAATACAATAATTTATTGATGTCTCACTGGGTCGTGCTTGAATTAGTTAAAACAATTTGAATTTTTACAAATATATAGTTCAAAATTATTTAAATCGTAGTCTTCGCTGACAAGTCAAGAACAAAAATATGATGTTATTTGGGTAGGAGCAAATATTTTGATAAATTTTATTATCAGGGAATAGCTACAAATTATTATATATTATAAAAACAAGATAATGAAATAGGGATAACTTACTGTTAGTGAGGTTAGCAGTGTTCAAATTGGTGTTTACTAATTCAGCATGTCATCTTCATTTCAATCAGGTTGGAAAATAGCACATGTCAGGGAAAATAAAACCTATTTTTCCTACTCCCTCCATTTTATTATACCAATCATTACGTGTTTGACAGCAGGTAGGAAATGGCTCATTTCGAAATTAATGGCGGTCACTTCCATTAATTCCATGGGAAATTTTAAAAAATTATGTGATATGTAACATTTACTCTGATAAATATGATCTCATGAATTCCTTCAATTGTCCAAAAGCCAAAATCAGTACATTTTCTCTCCAAATTCTCTGTAAAATCGAAAAATAAATCATATTTTCAGTAAATTTATTGTTCAACAGTTCGTGGGTTGGTAGTGAATCTAGTTATATCCGTGAAACAACAACCCCTTTTTCAAATTGTAAGCTGTCATTCGTCATTCAATCATTCAGTATCTCCTAATATTCAAAATGAGTGATAACGATCAAGAAACTCGTGCTACTCCACCAGACATTCCTAAGCAAGCAAATATTGTGATGAATAATTTACTGCCAGCAAAATCAAGATAAAAATACAAATATAATTTCGAAAATGTTATGAGTTGAAGAGAGAAAAAAAAACATAACTTCGTTTTCCGAAAACGTTCTCGTTTATTTCGAAGATTTAGCAAAAACTTTCAACAAAAATGAAGCCTGATACAATAATTTGTAGTAAATATTTTCTGGATTGACTGAATTAGTTTATTATCCAAAGCCATGATTTCACACACATATTGTACAATCCTTCCTACAGACAGTCGTAGAAAAAGTATAGTACGCACCTCGAGGATAAGGCAAATTACGTCCTCTCGCGAATTATCGCACTCCGCAAATGCCTCGTGCTTACAATTGTTCGCTCGTGGGTGATTGGCTTCTTATCCTACTCGGGACGTAATATACTATTTTCTACTCCTTCCATTTTAAACTAATCATTACGTGTTCAACAGCAGGTAGGCAATGGCCAACGACATTGACATAATATTTTAAGGTTCAAAAATGATGAGATATGTAATATTTTTATTTTTCATTTATTTGAAAAGGTATAATTGGCCAGTAATCAGAATAGATCTGGTGTTATGGCCTACAAAGTATTTTTTGATTAATACAATCTTGTAGTTATTCTCAACAATACCAAAATAATAAAAACAAAAAGTATGTATGTAGAGACAAAAATTTAAAAATATAAAGATGGACTTTCAAGGTGAAAAAATAAAATAAAATAATGTTCCACATCTACATGTTGGTGTAACTATTGTTTGATAGCTTCAACATGGTAAAATTATACTCAATCAGCCTACTTTCTAAACAGTTATCTGCATATTCGAATACAATTTTTTAAAGCTTTTTTTATTTCAGTCATAGAAGCAATGTGAAATCTACAGGAAGTTCATTGTATTGCTGGATACCACTATAGATGGGTGTATCCTGACTTTTTTTTGTTCTCATATATATTTGTTTCAGTCTTACAGCATTTCTTGTATTGTGATTATGTGTATCTCCTACTGTTTCCATCGTGGTATTACATAAGATGTAATTATTCAAGATTCCAAGTTCAACTTGTTCAAGTGCAATAATTTTTTCTATTGTCAGGAATCCCATTATTTCATAAACAATGTTTGTGTAAGTTGGTCGATACAAGTTATACAGTTTTTATTCATTTGTTTTGCGCTCTTTCTAGTTAATTAATTAATTGTTGTAATGCATTGCCCCAAAACATGGTATGAGATACCTTATATATGTTATTCAATATAGCTGTAATATATTGTTTTTTTGACATTGTGGTTTATATATTTTGCACAGCGTTTAAATGCTCCTGACATTGAGACAATTTTTGTTATCACTTTGTTGATATACTCTGTCCACTGGAGTTTATTGTCGATCAACTGTTGTAAACTTCGACTTCTTTCAGTAAGTTATTGTTTATATATAATTATATTGCCCGATTTGGTTTGTTTTTATGCTTTAACACCATATATACCTACCAACATTTAATGCTAGCTTATTTATCAGTAGCCATTGATAGTATTTGATTAGGTCATTATTCACTGTTTGTTCTAATGTTTCAAACAGTTATTTGAATATACTAGTGCGGTATATCATCAGCAAAGGTAGAGTATCTTGCACTCAAACCAGACATTTTCAGTGAGAGGACATACAAATAGGTTCGAGAACTGATCCCTGTGTCACATGTCATAATCTTATCTACGTTCACAATATCAAATGCTTTTCTGAGATCTACAAATACCGTTATTATATAGTTATTTTTATTCATTTCAGAAGCGACATAGTGCAATAAGTTTTAATTATGAGCTGCCATTCTGTATCTCGTAAACATTCAAAATGAATGATAACGATTGAGAAATTTGTGCTATCCCATCAGATATTACCTTGCATGTAAATATTGCTGCCAGCAAAATTGAGAGATAGAAACGAATGTAATTTCGAAATTTTTATGAGTTAGAGAGAAAAGAAAAACATAGCTTCGTTTTCCGAAAACGTTCTCGATTATTTCGAAGATTCAGCAAAAACTGAACAAAAATGAATCGGAAACATTTGAATGATCAACGGGTGAAACGACTCACGTTAAAGGCAATCATTTTTTTTAATGAAAAATGGAATTAAATAATATCTTCTTCTTCTTGACACCAGCCCAGGAGCAAAGGCTGTTCGACCAGTTGGTAACGAATGTCATTTATAAAATCAAGTGTGGTCACATTCGAGTGAGCATGGGACATGCTTGAAGAAGCTATTGTATAGCGAAACACGTGTCGCGGTTTTTGTAAAACCCTTATAGTGAAAATCATACAAATAAACTGTATTGATTAGTTGTCACAAAACTTCAGTCGGATTATAAAAAAGAGGAGAAGCAAAGGTGAATTGGATCCAGCGAACAGAATGAAGGAAATAATTGGGTTTTTATTAAAAAACTTAATGAAAACATTTTCAGAAGATATACTTGAAATATTTCTTGGGAACTTAGAACAAAATTACAAAAAATAATCAACTTCTCACTCAGTCCTTCCTATTGTTCTTGATTTTGAAATCAATAACTGTTATTTCGTATCAAACTTTCGTGCCAAAAAAATATCCACTTTTCGCCAGGACAATTATTTTATTGATAATGTCAAATTGCATTAAAACTCTTTTTCTCAATAACACCATAACAACAATAATTCAACGGTAATAAGATCAAGAAAATAAATAAATAACTCAAAACTAATCAAATAATCAACATTTCTCCCCTGCTAGAAGAATCAACTCAGTCTTCTAGTTCCAATTTGCAGATCTTAGTTACTGGCCGTCGAAATTCTGAATTCGCTGTCTTGACGTCTACCACCCTAACTCGTCCATCTGTACCTGGATGCACACCTATGACTTTTCCTAATTTCCATTTATATCGTGGTGCTTGGTCGTCGACCACAACTACTATATCACCCTCTGCGATGGGTTTGCTGTCGTTGGACCACTTACTCCCTTTCGTCAAACGTGGAATATATTCTTTTACCCATCTGTCCCAAAATGTGTGGACCAACATTCGAGATTTTTTCCATTCGCGCCTCAATCCATCAGCATCAGGGTTTATTGGAAGTAATGTAGGCTCGTGCGTGGTGTTGGAATATCCCAACAAAAAGTGCATGGGAGTGATAGCTTCTAAATCTGACTGATCGCAGGAAACTTTAGTCAGCGGCCTACAATTTACTATGGACTTTGCTTCCGAAAAAAGTGTTTGTAATGTTTCCTCTCTCAGTGATTGACCATGAAGAATCTTTCCTATAACTCTTTTCACAGTTCCAATTAACCTTTTAACCTTTTCCATACTCCTGCCATGTGTGGGGAAGCCGGTGGTAGGAATTTGAAGTCGATGCCTTTCGAAGACATTGAATTTTTTATTGAAGGCATGTCAATGTTTTGCATGGCTTCATTCATTTCTCTGGATGCGCCTTTCAAATTATTTCCATTGTCGCAATAGATTGTTCGAGGACATCCTCTTCTTGCCGACATTCTGATTACAGACATTATGGTGGAATCACTATTCAATGTATGTGCTACTTCAAGATGAATTGCCCTCACTGCTAGGCAGGTGAATATCACGCCCCAGCGTTTCTCCCGTCTTCTGCCAATTTTGATGGAAAAGGGACCAAAATAATCCATGCCAACATTTTCAAATGGTCTGAGCCCACTTGTCAGTCTTACTTCAGGAAGTTGACCCATTAATGGCGGTTGTGGTTTACTTTTATTTATTTTACATCTGAGACATCTCCCAAAAATCGATTTCACTGCGGATCTTCCGTTAATAATCCAAAATTTCTGCCGGAGTTCATTCAGTACGGTTTCCACTCCAGTGTAATTGAACTTCTCATGAAAATGTTGAATCAGCAAGCTAGTGTACCGATGTTTTGGACTCAAGATCACTGGATGCCTCGTGGATTCTTGCATACAAGTTCCCAAATTAGTCCTTCTACCAAGAACTAAAAAACCATTTTTCATAGTAGGAAAGAGACCAACCAAATTACTTTGTTTATCTATGGGTTTTCCCAATTCCAAGTTTTGAATATCTCTGGCAAAACAAACTCTTTGGGAATTCTTTGCGCAAATTTTCTCTGCTTCTTCCAATTCGTTAGTTGTTAGTACTCCTGATATTCCAGTTTTCTTCAAGTTATTGATGAATCTTAAACACCAAGCTTGCTCGAATGAATCTGAGCCATTTCGAAAATCTATTTATGTCTGAAAGAATATTTTCGTACCTTTGTATGACTAAGCATCTATTTACAGATTTCATCTCTTTCATGAGATTTTCATCTTCATCTTTTGTCATTTTTGAATTTTCAGTGGGCCAAAAAACTTCAGGTTGTTGCACATACGGGAGAGCAAGTTGCACCAAACGTCTTCACCGTCATTTCATATTCATCTGGATCTTTCTCACTTTCTAAGTTTCGCCATAGGAATCTCTAGGACTTTCGATCTTGTTCACGAATTTGAATCTGATGAAACATTTCTCTGACGTCACCACAAAATCCAAATCGTCGTTGGTGAAATTTCCATAAAATAGTAACCAGAGATTTCAATAGATCTGGTCCAGGTAAAAGTTCACTATTCAAGCTTACCCCTCTTGACGCGGCGGCTGCATCGAATACTAGTCGTATTTTATTGGGCTTATTCGGATTATTCACAGCAAAGTGTGGTAAGTACCAAAGACGTGGATTGTCTGTGAAAATTTCTTCCTGTTTCAGCTTTCTAACGTATCCCTTTTCTACGTAACTATTGATTTTCTGGCAGTTGGCTTCGGCGAAGTTTTTGTCGAGACTGCATTTCTTTTCCATACATTTCAGTTGTTGTAGGGCCAAATATTTGCTTTCTCGTAGGATGTCATTGATCATTTTTCCACAACAAACCTATCTCATATCTTTCTCCTGTATAACAAATGGTAGTATCCATTATAGTAATTGCCCTCTCATTATCCTTGCTCATCTTGTCTGGTGTCTTGTCTGAAATTAAATGTAACTGCTACTGCTTCTATTCCAACATTTCACTAAAATCACAAACCTAGACCGTTGCTATTTTTGTTGAAAAGTGGAAATTGAGTTGAATAGTTTAATGAGAGACGGTATTATCTCACCGGTAGAATTTTCTGAGTGGAACGAACACCTCTGTAGTGCCAGTTCTTAAAAAAGATAGACAAGTGCGTATTTGTTGTGATTACAAAATAACGATCAATCCTTGTATACTGCAGATTAATCATAATACAGAGTTACGATGCAGAAAAACTCAAAGACGTCTACACAATTTGATATCACCCACAGATGTACACGGTAAAACTATCAATCAGTACATGTTCCGGACCTATATAGGTTCATCATCTGCTAATTATATTCAAAAATACTTCAATTAAAGAAGAACAACATAACAATAGTTATGTTGTTTTGATCTTCCTCTTGAATATGATCACTTGATGATCGAAACACATGTCGAGGTGTTAAAATAACGGTTTGGTTTTGGGAAAAAACTCCCGTAATATTCATTACTACACCAAAGGTTTCAAACAGTGCATCTCAATAGCGGTGCATCACAAATAACAATAGTTAATACAATGAAGTATAAAACCGCTTACATGGAGAAGATTTTTTTTCATCTGAGGATGATAGTAAATTGTGGAGACGACTTTGAGTTTTTCTGCATCGTAAATCTTCTACATTCCACTTCAAAATATGATACACTTCTACCACAGGTTTATAATACAGAGGATAGATAACTTATTTTCCAAGCTGTGAGGGGGGCAGGCAGCAGTATTTAAAAATTGATTTCAGTCAAGCATATCAATAAATTTTCCTTGAACCATCTAAAAAAATACACTGTAAATAATGCACATAAATGCTTTTTATGTATGGCGTATGCCATTCATCGGAACCCTTGCAGTTCCTTGCTCCAATAGTGGAGCAGATTTTCATTGATATGACTGGAATGGCAATTTTTTCAAATGATATTCTCATTACTGGAAAGACAACGCTAACACATCGAACATTTTTATGAAGGTTCAAAAATGTTGAAAGATGTAGGCCTTACAATTAAATGGAAAAAATGTGAATTTCTTTCTGATTCTGCATCATACTTGAGATTCATTAATGACAGAGATCGCCTTCATGAAAGTCCTGATAAAAGGCAATAGAAAAAATTCCGGAACCCCAGAATGTGACACAACTGAAGTCATTTCTGGGAACAATTAATTATTATATTAGATTTATTCCTAAATTACCTACCTGTCCTGAATCCTTTATACAACATTATTGAGGAGAAATTCAATAGGAAATTGGAGAAGTGATTGTAGTGTATTTTGTAAAATGAAGTTATAATCAGCTGAAAATGTTGTTCTTGTTCATTATGACCAAGATCTAGATATCAGTTTGATAGTTGATAGTTCAGAATATGGTATAGGGGCTGTTATTTCTCATATTCCGAAAACGGCATTGAAAAATCAATTTGTTTTGGTTGAATAACATTAAATGAATCAAAAAAAGGTTATTTTGCTCTAGATAAGGAAGCGACAGCAATTGTATATTGGAAAAAAAATATTTTTTTCTGTTAACCAGCTATCGCACCCCTACGAACGATAACGTCGAAACTTGTGCGAGCTAAGGACTAACGAGGTCTTACCTTATAACGTGTGATTCCTAACTCGGGTTGGACGATATCAAGAGAAAATGGAGCGTTCAGCCTGAGGCTTGAACCATCGACTCACTTAACGGCGGATTGACTGGATGAACAAACCACACTCGTCGAACCACCCAGCTACCGACCGGGGAGTAAACTTTTTTTATCAATACCTGTACAGGAATAAATTCAAACTGATAAGTGGATATGAAGCGCTGGTATCTATATTTGGGCCAACAAAGAGAATACCTTTGTTAGCAGCAAACAGACTACGTTACGCAATTTATTTCAAGTGGTTATGATTTCGACATAAAATATGTCAGTACCAGTGAATACATAGTTGATTTTTTGAGTAGATTGATAGTAGATTGATCGAGTGATAGAGTAGATTGCCAATGAATGAAATAAATTTAGAACGTGAGTCTGACGATATGATCGGTGGTTGATATGAATTTCATCTCTTCAAATTTCTGAAATTCCCACGAACGTAAATATTGTTACGAAATGAGACACTGATAGATCCAATTTTGTAGAAAGTTTTGAAATATTTGAAAACAGATTGGCGAAATAAAATCAATAGAGAGTTGAAACCTTATTTTCACTAGCACTTGGATCTGAGTATTTATGAGGACATTATAGTATGGGTTCGTGACGGAGAGACATGTACACACTACCGATAGCACGGCAGCGCCAGGGGCAACCGCCGCACATCAGAAAGTCGTATACATTACGATTATTGTAATGTGATGGAGATGGCCGACACTTGATGAAAAATCCATAACTTATTAAAGTAACACTTTATTGTGAGATTTCCACTGGACAGTGTACAAAACCGAAACACGTGATTCGCTATATAATAACTTTCTCAAGCATTTTCATACTTACTAAATTCTACCTAATCACTGGCTTTTCTGACTTTTTCTGAATATGATTATTTGTGATTTATTTTGATATATTGCGGATACCTACTTGATGAATATCTTTAACGTATTGAAGTAGGTGCTACTTTATTATGAGAAAACTCTAATGAAAACCCTTGTGAAATCTACGTTACGATTTTTCATACAGTGCACATAATGAGCAAAAATTTTGGGTATATCAAGTAGTATATGGCCAAAATTTTTCAGTCTTTCAAAACATTGGCATCTTATTCAAAGCGGCATAAACCTTTCTGAAATGATTATTCAATCATTTATTTGCATTTCTGTAAAATTTTCAAAGTTTGGTTTTGTGAACAAACATCCAGTATTCTTGAATCATATCAATGATATCTCAATGCTAGCGCACTAGTGGAAATTTTCGAATTTCTTTTCGTTTTTAGAAATCTTTTACTCTATCAAAAAATCACAAGAGACCTTATTTAAAGGTAATAAAAAATTATAAAGATCAATTCCTTTACAAATCTCCTCTAAATTGCTAATTAATTGAGTTAAACGCATTTGAATGTAAATTTATTTCTATCCTCACCACCTTTCAAAAGTAAATGTATTACGCGTATGGCCATCACTTGTTCTCTGTTACATTCGAACTTGATGTTTTCACATACCGATTAGATGGTGCCATCCGTCCCGAACTGACTTCGTCACATTCTTGTATAGTCTATAATAGTTCATTTCATATTATCAGTCGTAATTTCTATTTAACATATTTTTGTTTCTGAAAAGTGTGAAGCGTGATTTTTATTTTAGTTATTTTAATTTCCATAGTTCATTTTTTGTTTAAGTTTTGTTTACTAATCTGAACTTAGCAAAATTTCATATTATCAGTCGTGATTTCTATTTAACATATTTTTGTTTCTGAAAAGTGTGAAGCGTGATTTTTATTTTAGTTATTTTAATTTCCATAGTTTATTTTTTGTTTAAGTTTTGTTTACCAATCTGACCTTAGCGAAATGAAAGATAAAGTTAATAATATTGTCACTCGAATACAATTTCTAAAGGGTAATATAACATACAATGAGCTAGTGGCCATTCAGTTCAATGACAATTTTTACGACAAATTGGTTGAACAAATTCGTAATAGGGAAGAGCGCAAAAAAAAGAAAAGGATTTTTCAATTAATCCAAAGAAACTCAAATAATCTGAAGGATTTATTGGAACAAATCGATTCGATCACATGGCAGTGCCTCCAAAAATTTTTCTGATGAAGTAGTTTCATCTGAAGAAGTCGCCCCATTTCAAATGCGATCACCGACCAATCCAAGTGATAAAATAATGGAAAATCCTGAATATTTCGAAAAAACTTTAGAATTTTCAGATGAAAAATGTTCGTTACCGGTAGTCCCTTTGAATGAGGATTTGGTAGGTCATATTTCTGATAATGGAGTGATCCAGAAACTGAAAGAAAAATATAGTATCCAACATTCTACACCCTCAGAAAAAAAATTGAACAATATCAATAATGACGGGGATCATTTCACTTTATCATTCAGTTCAGAATCAAAGCTCTTAGATTTCAGCAAGAAGGGCTCAAACAATAATAATCAAATGGAAAGTAAAAGAAATAATGATAGAAAAATTAAGAATGATACCACTCCTCCTATCTGCAAAAGCCTTTTCACCGAATCTTCGATCAGCTTAAATACAATTTCCACTTTGGAAAACGTAACAGATTCGTCACTTTCAATTGTCAGTTTTATGACGGGAAGGACCCGAGAATAATCGGGTCCTTCCACATAATAGCAAAAATACCAATCCATTTAAGCATAAAAATATGAAAAGAAGCGATTATTCAAAATGCAACTTTCTCGAAGGCAAGTTCTACATCAATAATCAACAATGGAACACTATAAGTAATGAAGGAAAACTGTCTAAAAAATATTATCCATATTTTTTCCGAAACCAGTTGAGAAAGTATGTTAATAATAGTTGTACTGTTGCCTTCTATAGAACAAAATATTTGAAAAACAAAATAGTTTTGTTCGCATACTGTCGAAATAATTATCAAAAATGCAAAAATTTCAAATTTGATATTTCGAATGATATGCAACATGGTAAAATAGTACAAGTTTTTAGTACACCTTGCGATTATTGTCACCCGTTTAAAATCACTGATCAGGTACGCG